GGCCATCCTGATATGTCACATTCTTTTGACATGACCAAGGAAGCCTTTAATCAACTTCATCCTCTGTCTTCGGAGCAAGAATCCGCATGTGGTGGCTGATGCAGCTGCAAGGTATGGAATTGAGCTTGTGCACTCCTCCCCAAATATTTCTAAAAGGCAAAGTCACAACCACTAATAATAATTAGGCCCATTTTTTCTGCAGCCAAAGAATCATCTGATAAGTTCAAATTAGCAGCAGGCCCAAAGAAAGAAAAAGATAAGGTTCTTCTTGAGGATCTTGTCCTTTTCCAACAGAGACTGAATGAAGGGCGAGGCGAATAAAATCATCTAGTGAGTGACAGCATGGCTGCAGAAGGAAGGTGACAGCGATAGTTGACTTATTCCTGCAAGCAACCTATAAATTCCTTAGTACAGGTAGTCCTTGACTTAAAGCCATTCATTTAATGACCATTCAAAGTTGCAGCCGCACTGAAATAAGCGACTTATTTTCAAACTTACGACCATTGCAGCATCCCCACAGTCACATATCAAAATTCAGTTACTTGGCAAGTGGCTTGTGTTTGTGACGGTTGCAGTGTCCCGGGGTCATTTGACCCCCTTTTGCAACCTTCTGACAATAGGGGAGTCAGATTCCCTTAAGCCGACTGGTGATTTTTTGGTCCCCACGCTATTAAAAAGAGGCTGAGACTCTAGAAAGAGTGCAGAGAAGAGCAATCAGGATGATTAGGGCGACTGGAGGCTAAAACATACGAAGAACAGTTGCTGGAACCGGGCATGGGAGTGCCATCTGTCAGAATTGGTATAGTATTTCCTGCTTGGGCAGGGGGTTGGACTAGATGATCTACAAGGTCCCTTCCAACTCTGATTGTTGTAATGACGAGGCAGTCAAGGTGTTTGATCATGATCAAATGAATCATGATGAACTTTATTGGAGTCTAGTCTTACATTTATACACATTTTTAGTAATCCTCTAACATTGGTTAACTTTGGTTTCTGCTCAACTTTCGTTACTGTTTAGCATAGTAATTAACACAATTAATTATCTCTAGTTAAAGTCTAACATATGTTTACTTCCTCTCTCTAATCCTCCTTTACATTAGTGACTTTGTTTGCCTGAGTTGTATTTGCTTTGTAAACATTCATTACCTGAGGTTTGCCATCCAGATAAGAATATTCCTGCAATTACAACTCTACATCTGATTATCTGTTATCTGTAGTTTAGTGAAGAGAATACCAATAGCACTTAGCACTTAGACTTATATACCGCTTCACAGTGCTTTTACAAACCTCTAAGCGGTTATACAGAGTCAGCCTCTTGCCCCCAACCATCTGGGTCCTCATTTTATTGACCTCGGAAGGAGGGAAGGATGAGTTACTCTTGAGCTAGGATGGGTGGATAGATGGATGGGAGGGAGGGAGGGAGGGAAGGAAGGAAGGAAAGAAAGGAAAGAAGGGAACAAATAGCAATAGTACTAAGACTTATATACTGCTTCACAGTGCTTTTACAGCCCTCTCCAAGCAGTTTTACAGAGTCAGCCTCTTGCCCCCAACCATCTGGGTCCTCGTTTTACCCACCTCGGAAGGATGGGAGGCTGAGTCAACCTTGAGCCTGGTGAGATTTGAACTGCTGAATTGATAGCAATCAGCAGTCAGCAGAAGTAAGCTGCAGTATTGCACTCTAACCATGGCGCCACTCGGCGCCCAGAAGGACCAGGGGAGACATGATGTCAGTGTTCCAATATTTGAGGGGCTGCCACAGAGAAGAGGAAGGGGTCAAGCTATTTTCCAAGGCACTCGAAGGCCAGAGAAGGAATAATGGATGGAAACTGATCAAGGAGAGATTTAACCTGGAAATAAGGAGAAACTTTCTGACAGTGAGAACAATCAACTGATGGAACAGAAGTTGCCCTCAGAAATTATGGGAGCTTCATCACTAGAATCCTTCAAGAAGAAATTGGACTGCCATCTATCAGAAATGGTGTAGGGTCTCCTGCTTGGTTGGGAGGGTTGGATTAGTTTGGACTTAATTTAACCACTATAGTAAGAAAGGTCATAAAATGGGGCAAAACTCACTTAACAACTATCTTGCTTTGCAACAGAAATTTTGGGCTCACTTGTGGATGTAAATTGTGGATTACTTACAGGGCCCTATCCCATTTCAAATCTACATCTCCCAGAATTGACAGCTATTGAACTATAGGCAGTCCTTGACATACAACTGGTCATTTAGTGACCAAACTTATGATGAATGCCATCCAAAACTTACAATCTGATTTCAAAGTTACCCCCCCCCCCCCCCCTACAACGCCCCCCCCCCCCCCCATACAACGCCCCCCCTCCCCCACATACACAATATGATCCCTTGATTGCATCTTGGATGTTTGACAACTGATTCAGGTTTATGTCTGTTTGTAGTATCTTGTGGCCAAATTATTGCAATTTCCAAATTGTTTTGCTGGTTTCCCAAAGTTATTTCTAGTTTCTGGCAAAAAGTGCCCATTGTGGAAAGTTTATTTGCTTAATGAATGCAGCGCTTAATTAATGACTGTTGGGGAAAAAAAGAACGTCATAAAATCAGTTCCTGTCACAGGGTGATCCACTTAATGACTGCAATGACTAATAACCATAGTTCTTGGCTCAATTACAATGATTATTCGAGGAGTACAGGAGCACAGTTGTTAAGGGAATCGCGGCAGGTGTTAAGTTAGTCACATGGTTGTTACGTGAATCCGGCTTCCTTCATTTGACTTTGCTTGTCAGAGGGTCCCAAAAGGAGATTACATCATCTTGGCCTATCCTTTATATCTTATGGGAGGAGCAATCACCTCCCAGTCTTACTCCCGAGTCGCCCCTTTCGTTTCAGCTGCTCTCACCTTCTAGAAGCTCTGCACATACGCGCACTGGGAACAGGCTCCCCTGGGTCCTCTGCCTCACTGCTGCCAGACTCCAAAGGTTCAGGAGGCAGCACCCCACTCCCAGATTGTCCTGGCCCCATCTCTACATCGGACGCAGGACCCTCGTCCAAGTCCTCTCCAGACTCCCCGACTGGTCCTTTCCTTCCCCACTGTCCGCTTCTGCCGCTGGCTGCGCTGGCTGCTGGCGAACCACAACAGGTGATGGCTGAAAACACTGCATTAGTTTCTACTATTTCTTACTTAATTTGAGCAATTTTTTAAAGTTGACATTCTGTAGGTAGACTGAGACCAACAGTAATAGTACAGTGTGCGAGCTTGGCATTCTGAGAGTTGTAGTCTCCATCTTTTAGGAGGCCACCAGGATGGAGAAAAATGGATTTCAACACAGGTAGTTCTTGATTTACAACAGTTCACTTCGTGACTATTCAAAGTTACAACATCACTGAAAAAAAGGTGACTTAGGACCATTTTACACACTTATGACTGTTGCAGCATCTCCATGGTCATGTGATCAAAATTTGACCACTTGGCAACTGGCATGTACTTATGATAGTTGCAGTGTCCTGGGGTCATGTGATCCCCTTTTGCGACCACAAAGTCAATGGAAAAAACAGACTCACTTAACAACTATGTTACTAATTTGACAACTGCAGTGATTCACTTAACAAATGTGGCAAGAAAAGTTGTAAAATGGGGCAAAACACACCTGGCAACATAACTTTTGGCTCAGTTGTGGTAGTTAGTGGAGGAGTAACTGTTTGTCCTCATTGATGACTACCAACATTTACTTGGAGAATATAATGGTACCTTGGTACTCAACTGCTTTGAAACTCATCGAATTCGGTACTGAAAACATTCTGATCGAAAATCTTGTTCCAGTACTTACTCATTGTTTGTTTGGTACTCAACATACAAGCTAGAACTTGCCAGTGTCGACTGCCTTGTGATTCACTACCTTATTTCTTAAGGGATTTGTGATTCACTACCTTATTTCTTAAGGGATTTTTTTTAGTATTCATTGTTTTTAGTACTCATCTGCCTCCTGAATCAATTAAAGATGAACCCTGAACCACAACTGCATTAACAAAGGGATAGAATCAAGGTTATGCGAAGTGTTAATACCACTTTATAACGCCTTGGTGAGGCCGCACCTGGAATACTGCATCCAGTTTTGGTTGCCACTAAGTAAAAAAGATGTTGAGACTCTGGAAAGAGTACAGAGAAGAACAACAAAGAGGATTAGGGGATTGGAGGCTAAAAGATATAAAGAATGGTTGCTGGAACTGGGTATGTATAGTTTGATGAAAAGAAGGACTAGGGGTCATGTGATAGCAGTATTCCAATATATGGGGTGCTGCCCCAAAGAAGAGGGAGTCAATCTCTTCTCCAAAGTACCTGAGGGCAGGACAAGAAACAATGGATGGAAACTAATCAAGGAGAAAAGCAACCTAGAGCTAAGGAGACATTTTCTGACAATAAAAACAATTAATCAGGGACCCTCCAAGGTTCCTTCCAACACTGTTATTCTATTCTTTATGTATTATTTCAGGAGCAGCTACCATAAAACTCAGTTGGGGTGTTTTAGTCAATAGGCTGGATGAATAATTTCCTCCACATAGTTCCTAACCACGTTGAAGAATTGTGATGAGTCTAGGGACCCTGATTTGGGTACAGGTAGTCTTTGACTTACAACTTTCTATTCAGTGACCATTCAAAACTACAAGGGCACTGAAAAAAGTGACATTGAGAGCATATGAATTGGAGACAAATTCCTTGTGTGTCGAATCTTGCCAGTATAGATCTATTCTATTCTATTCTATTCTATTCTATTCTATTCTATTCTATTCTATCCATCTGCTAAATAAACCGATTTATACGCCTACATTTCCCATAAGTCCTAGCGCGCTGGCTACGATTTCTGGGAATGGTAGGCAAACGACGAGATCCACTGGGCCAGATCGGAAAAGATCGGAGATCGGAGGCGGGGGCTTCCGGAAGCGAGCGGAAGTCGCTGTTGCTACGGGCCCGCTTTTCGTTTCTCAGAAAGAAGGCTCTTAGCAACCAGGGAAAGGGCGCTGCGCGAAGATGCTGCCCGCCGAGAAAAGGGGCGCAGCGCACCCCAGGGATTCTCCGAGCCCCGAACCCTCCATGTACAGGCACAGGCCCGCCTCGGAGCTGACTCAGGTGAAGGAAGAGCCACTCCCGCTTCTGCCACCGCGCCCTCCGGCTTTAGTAACCTTGCAGACGCTTCTCACTTTCAGGGCGGTGTTGTTGTTTTTTTACACCTGGCTTGGGTGGCAAAACGATTCCCATCTGAGCATGGGCAGAGTTCCACCTGCAATGTCTCTTTCCTGTGCCCAGATGCCTCCATAAACCCCGGAATGGTACTTTGCCCCCACTCCCTGGCACAGGGTTCCTGAGCATGTGCAGAGTGCTTATTCGGTCTACCTGTAGCACAAACGGAAAGTGGGCATGGAGTAACCTTCCTAATCCATTTAATTGACGATTTGATTGTGTTTAACATTTTTCTATCATTGCTTGTTAATCTGGGCATCGGAGATAAATGTTTTAAAAAGACCCATTTTTTTTTAAAAAAAGGTGAAAAAGTATTTAAGATATGCTGATTTTATAAAGAGATTATTTCATCGATGATTTAAACACACCCCCTTTATTCAGAAAATATTGTAAATGCTTTTATTTCACAGAGAGAAGAACCACAGTGAAGAATGGTTTAATAATAATAATTGCAAAAGACCTTAAGCCTAACCCTGTGACAATACCTTTAATATTATTAAAAAGCATCCTCCTATCCCAAGTCCTTGGACACATGAACAAAAAACCCAAATTCAATCTAAAATCTAACTGTGTGACACAACAACAACAACAAAACAACAATAACAACAACAATACATACATACATACATACATACATACATACATACATACATACATACATACTCTCCCTGGAAAAACTCCCTTATCTTTAACTGTATTGTTCCAGAGCTGCCTGCAAGCTTATGAAAATACAACCAGCCACCAAAAGTTGGCCAAAGTGCAGGAGAAGGAAGCTTTGTGATCAGGATTGCCTGTGTGTGTGTCAATGTTTGTGTTTAAGAATGAAGCAAAACATTAGGCAAGATCAGATGGGATTGCTTACGTTGCCGCAGGAAGAGGAAGGCTTGGTATTTGTTCCATTTTTAAAAATTTCCAGTACTTAAGCCACTGGGGAAAATTGTTGAGATGAGTAAATATTAGCTGAGAGGAAGGATTGAATCAATATATGGAACCTGAGTGGAGAAATATTTTCTTTTTTTTTTTTTTTAGTGCTGGTGGTTCTTACTGAAAAATGGAATCTACACAGCAGGCACAGTATTTTTAAAAATACTATGGAAGTGTCTGATTGTAGGTTTACTGTAGATTTAGTTGACCTTTGACCATAGAGGAGTCCTCAACTTAAAACTGGTTGCTTAGCAACCATTAAAAATTACACTGGACTTACTTAGGGCTAGCTATGTCTTGGTTTTGATGGTCAGGCTCCTTCTGTGGTCACATGGACAATCTTTAGACACTCAGCAATGGTTGCATTTATGGCGTTTGCAGCATCCCATGGTCCCATGATCACGGTTTACAATGGTTTTGCTGAAAACTAGTATGTATTTTTGGTTTTCAGCAAAACTGTGCCTAAAACAAATTATTGATATGCTTGATAACTGTGGCATTCTACAGGTACTCTTATGGCCACAATTGAGCCTAAAATTTCTATTGTTATGTGAGACATTTGTTAAGTGAGTTTTGCCCTGTTTTATGGCCTTTCTTGCCACAGTTGTTAAATGAATTACTACAGTTGATAAATTAGTAACCTAATTGTTAAGTGAATTAGTAACCTGATTGTTTATTGACTTTGCTTGTTAGAAGGTCACAAAAGGGGGTCACATGACTCTAGAACACTGCAATTGTCCTAAGTATGAGCCAGTTGCCAAGCACCTGAATTTTAATTGGGCGACCTTTAGGTTGTTGTAATGGTTGTAAGTGTAAAAGAAATGGTCATAGGTCTCTTTTTCTAGTACCGTTGTAAATTTGAACGGTCACTCAATGAACTATTGTAAGTTGAGAACTACCTGTAATGCTGAGTAGGCAACTTATTTTTTCAATACACATAGTCCTCGAATTGCAACTGGTCATTTAGCAACTGTTTGAAGTTATGACCTACCTGGAAAAAGGGAGTTACAAGTTCTAACAGCCAGGGCCCTTGCAGTTATGCTAATACATGTCAGGCACTTGGCAGTATGGCCACATATATAGCCATTTGCAGCATCCCATGTCCACATGATCATGTTTTACAAGAATGCAAATGACCAGCTGTCTGTAAGGAGTATAAATCCTTCCAATCACCACCATCCGGTCAGAGCTGAAGAAGCTTCTTGGATGAGAAGGGAAACGTCTTCAAAGAAAGAAAGAAGTCCTAAAAAGAAGGAAGTCTTGAAAAAAAGCACCTTTGGGTCAACTATGACCTGGATGACTGAGGATCTCCTTAGACATTTACAATGGTTTTGTCAAACTTGGAAGTTACAATAGGTTCGCTTAATGACTGCAGCATTCTTTTTAGGCCTTTATCGCTTAACGACTGCGACAAAAAAGATTGCAAAAACAGCTTAGTCACGTCAACAAATCATTTTCAACTGTCATGACTTGCAAGTGTAATAGGCAGGTTCCCGTACGGACGTATGTCAAGGACTAACTATCATCAGAATTCAGAAACGGAATGAAAGCAACTGCATGTAGTTTGGACTGAATGTTTAAAAAGCCTGATTCATTTCAAACACAAGTTATTTTCTGTCACTGTAATCTGTAATTAGTAGGCATAATAGCAAGAAACTCAGCTGCTAAACTTACTGTCATTATACGGGTAGTCATCGACTTACAACAGTTCCTTTAGGGACTGTTCAAAGTTACAACAGCACTGAAAAAAGTGACATGACTTTTTCACACTTACGACCCTTGAAGTATCCTCATAGTCACATCAAAATTCAAATGCTTGGCAACTGATTCATGTTTTTGACGGTTGCAGGGTTCTGGGGTCACCTTTTTCAATCTTCTATAAAAAGCAAAGCCAGGTTCACATTACTAATTTAACAACTGCAGTGATTCACTTAACAACTATGGCAAGAAAGGTCGTAAAATGGGGCAAAATTAACTGAACAAGTGTTTTACTTAGCAACAGAAATTTTGGGCTCAATTGTGGTCATAAGTTGAGGACTATTTGTACTGTCAATTTAATTAATTTGAATGCATACTGAAGATTTTTAATACTGAACACATATGCATTGTAACTTTCAACATGAAGGTTGCTTGATGCCAGTTTTCAAGAAAACTGTATTTAACTGTAGTATTATTCATGTGAAATCTACTGTCACTCTTGTAGGCTCACCATCAAATATTTCTACACCTGTTTCTAATTATTTCTCCTCCTATCCCACTCAGGACATTTCCCATGTGCTAACCAAAGTCTTTAAGAGCTTATATACTTCAGAGGTGATAGCAGCAAACATGGTGGATAATATGATCAAATCCCGTGGAGGAAAAAATCCCCATCATGAATACTTTGTGGAAGAATTGCGAAAGGTAAACTTTCCATTTAGCTCTGTTCAGGAAAACATATAAGAATTAAAGTGATTTAAGCTTGCAAAATGTTCTGCTTAATCACCATTCAGAATTGAATCATTTTGGAACTGTAGGAATTGAATGGACAGGCAGACTGACACATATGCAAAGAGAGATAAACATACACAAATGTAACATTAATAAACATAAACATATGTTTATTAATTATGTTACAAAATTAGAATAAGTGTAACAATAAATTAGAATCAGATCATCTTCTTCATGACCGTTTCCTGGTTAACATCTGGGAGGAGACTTTGTGGTATCTGAAGCAGAACATCTAATTTCAGTCACAGTTTTGTTCCATACTGTCAACCTTGTGAATTCTTAAGTTTCCTCTTTGCTATGTATTCAAAATGGATAGCAATTAATGTATGTATCTCTGTGTGCATAGGTGTATATATATGTATGTATATAGCATGCATATATGCATGTTATATATGTGTATGGGTAGGTATATACTGTACTTTCCTTTGAGAGCAGGCAACAGAATTTCATTTTTAATGTGTGTCAGTGTGCTCACAGTATAAAATGACAATAAATGTTATTTTAATCTTAATCAGAAGTTAATGGTCCATTTCTATCTTCTTCAGAATTCCTATTTCTTGCATATAATAATAAAAGATTTGTACTTTGATGTCAAATAAATTGAATCTATATTTAAGTGTTAACTATTACAATAATAGCTCCGTGAAGAGTATAATCACCGACAAATGGAGGCACAAATGCTGGAAAAACACATCATCCAAGCAAGGGCCCGTGCCACCGCGGAAGAAGAAAGGATCTTGGGTTTATATCAGCTAGAAATTCCGGAAGCCTACCGCCGAGCTGCAATGCCATCAGGTGAAGGAATTAGCATTTCCTATATCCCCTTTTACAGGCAATTCTTGACCTGCGCTCACAATTGAGCCCAACGTTTCTGTTGCTAAGCGAGGCAGCTATTAAGTGGGTTTTGCCCCATTTTACAACCTTTCTTGCCACAGTTGAATCGCTGCAGTTGTTAAATTAGTAACACGGTTGTTAAGTGTACCTGGCTTCCCCATTGACTTTGCTTGTCAGAAGGTCGCGAAAGGGGATCATATGACTCCAGGGACACTGCAGCCATCATAAATACACGCCAGTTGCCCAGCGTCAGAATTTTGATCATGTTACTGTAGGGATGCGGCCAAGGTTGTAAGTGTGAAAAATTATCACTTTTTAAAGTGCTGTTGTAACTGTAAATGGTCACTAAACAATTGGTTGTAAATTGAGGATTATTTCTATTCTAATATAACTTATACCAAGGGAAAATGCCCTTTGGTTTGCTAGAAATGTAGTAAGGATTTGATTTGATCTTGTTGATATGGGAAGGATTGATGGCGAGGCACACAAATCCTATTTGGTTGATTTACTGAAAAATTTCAATAATTAGAAATAAGATGAAGAGACAAAAGAGAAGTCTTTTTATTTCTCTGCTCCCGTTTTTCAGCCCAGGGTAATTACTGTGAAAAATAACTGCCTCCAAAGCTTTTCTTTTTGGGGGGTGGATGGGTGTGGAAATTGATTACGAGTAGTCCTTGACTTACAACCATTTGTTTAGTGACTGTTGAAAGTTAGTTAAAACGTGACGACTGTTGCAGCATCCCCATGGTCAGATTATTGAAATGTGGGTGCTTGGCAACCAGCATTTGTTTACAATTGTTGCAGCATCCCTGGGTCGTGTGATCATCCTTTGCAACCTTCCCAGCTGGCTTGCCACAAAATCAATGGCAGAACTCGGATTTGCTTAGTGACCACATGGTTCATTTAACAACTGCAGTGATTCATGGCAAAAAAAGATCAAAAAATAGGGCACAACTTTTATGTAACATATGTCTTATTCAGCAGCAGAAATTCTGGTCCCGAATGTGTTTGTAAGTGAATGGTGTAGTGGCCTACAGGTGGCTCTCGCCTCATAATCGGGAGGCTGTGACTTCAGTCCTAGGTAGAGGCAGATATTTCTTTCTCTGGACACACTGAGAATATATCTGCTAAAAAATCCTCCGCATTGGCAACAGGAAAGGCATCCGGCCAGTAAATACTCAGCTTCCATTCAGTTGTGCAGACTCCACCTGGCAAGGGATTATGGGGGTCATTGAAAGAGGATGATGAATTGTGATTGTAAGTCAAAGATCAGCTGTACTGGCCTCACTTTCCCTTCCAAAATGTTCTCTTCCCCTATATGAAGAAATAATGGGAACAGTTTATTTTTTTTAAAAAAACTTATCTCTCTTAAATGTGCATTTCCCTAGTGAAGTCTACATTCAGATGGTGTGTGGATGGCGACCTTCTTAAAAAACACCACTTAATCTGCCCTGATGATTACATCACAGATCCGGTACTAGTAACCCATGCTCCTAAAGGTAACTAGAAAGACGAATGTGACTTTTTCAAGGATGCAATGTATAGTCAGACCTGAAAGTATATGACTGGGATGGCGAACCTATGGCACGCGGGCCCCAGGTGGCCCCCACAGAGCCATTTGTGCGGGCACACGAGCCCCAGCCAAACTTACCTGCACCGCACATGGGTGGCTCCCAGCTGATTTTTGGCCCGTTTGAGGCCATTTTCGCCCTCGGCAGCCTCAGGAGGCCGAAAAACGGGCCTTCCAGAAAAACTGGAAGTGCCCTTTTTCAGCCTCCGGAGGGCCTCTGAAGCTCGGGGGAGGTCGCTTTCGCCCTCCCGGAGGCTTGAGGAAAGCCCCTGCAGCCTTGGGAGGCTGAAAACGGGCCCATTTTGGTACTTACGGTATTTCCGGAAGGCCCGTTTTTCAGCCTCCTAAGGCTGCAGGGGCTTCCCTCAAGCCTCCAGGAGGGTGAAAACGGCCTCAAACAGGCTCAAAATCAGGTGGGAGGCACGCGCATGCGCAGTGCAGTTAAGAGGGCGGGGCGGGGGTGTTGCACGTGCATGCGCAGCGGGGTGGGGTGCATTGCATTGTGGGTGCTGGCACATGTGTACGCGCTTTCGGCATCCCACAACAAAAGGGTTCACCATCACTGGTATATGAGATTGTCATTTTTTAAAAATATATCTATGAATGATGTTTGTTCCGTTTCTAGGTTTCTTTCTGAACTTAACTTTTCTTTAAACGCAGATGTCTCAGAACCGGGCTATTTGAAAGAAACTGATTGTAAACATTATGAACCTCCTAATTCAGAAGCTCTCCAATTCAAGGAAAATTCACGCATCAAAAAGCTATGGGCAAGTCTTCCCGATGTGTCTTTGTCCAGTTTAACTCTGGACTCTTCAGATACTAATTTTTCAGACGGATCTGTGGCATTGCTCTACAAGGTACAGCCTAGTTTTATTTTGCTATCACTTTGACATTGTTTTCTGATCCCTCCCTACAGTTCAGCCTTGTATCATGATCAAGTTAATTTTTCTCAGATTTGAGATGTCTATTGATGGTGCTTTTTCAAAGGGCAACAGGACTTTCTGGTTTTTTTTTTTTTTTGAAGAAGTTTCGCTTCTCATCCAAAAAGCTTCTTCAGCTCTGACAGGGTCATTCTGTTCTGAAATCTAAAACACTGTATTGATCAATTCAACTTCCATGCCTGCGAGATGTGCATTTAGATGGTTAGAATAAAATTGAATGGAAGGTGAGATGGCAGCTTATTCAGCCTACTTTCCTATGTGTATCAAAGCATTGTATTTATAAATCTTTGCCTATCCTGTGGGTTGATTGCTTAAAATAGAACAGGGGTGTCAAACTCAAAGCCCGGGGGCAGATCTAGCCCACGGAGTACTTATATTTGGCCTGTGGGGCTGCCCTGGAAACAAGCGAAGGACCAACCGGAGGGGCCTCTGCCAGTGAAAACAGAGTTTGGGAGGGCTGTGTACGGCCCTTCTGAGCTCTGTTTTCATTGACAAAGGGGTTGCAGGAGGCCGTCACAGCCACAAATGGAGCTCGGGAGCCCATTTTCTCTGGCAGAGTGCTTGGGCCTCCACAGGCGCCCCTGACATGAGTTATGAAAATTAAAACCTAAGGATATTAAAACTATAGTCCTCAACTTACAACAGTTCATTTAGTGACCATTCAAAGTTACAACGGCACCCAAAAACTCACTTAGGATCATTTTTCACATTTATGACCATTACAGCATCCTCATGTGATCAAAATTCAGTTGTCTGGCAATTGACTCATATTTATGACGGTTGCAAAGTCCCAGGCTCCTGTCATCCCCTCTTGCGACCTTCTGACAAGCAAAGTCAATGAGAGAAACCAGATTGACTTAACAATTGTGTTACAAACTTAACAATTGCACTGATTCACTTAACTGCTGTGGCCAGGAAGGTCGTAAAATGGGGCAAAATTCACAAATGTCCCATTTAGCAACAGAAATGTTGGGCTCAATTGTGCTCATAAACCGAGATTAACTATGTGCCATAAGATAGAATCAAGGAGAAGGATGGTAAGGGGTGAGATCTTCTTACCCTGTCAACTATCTCCAGGGTCCCGGGCCAACCAGCAAAGCCAAGTTTTGATCACTTCTGGAAAGCCAAAAGTGTGGGAACAGCTCTCAGGTCTGCTAGTAGATGTTTGTGGATATTCTCAGTCATCCAATTCAAATATGCTTTTTTTTTCCCTTCAAAAGGCCCCTGGACTGTTTTTTTTTCTTTGAGGAGGAAGAAAGAAAAAATGTTTTGCTTTTCATCCAAGAAGCGTTATCAGTTTTAACGGTGGGGGGATGGAAGGATAGGCTCTGATAGGAAGTGGATGGGGTGGAAGGATTGTATTTCTTTGCAGTCATCCAAAAGTATTGTAAATACTATGTATCTACACAAGTGTTGTAATACAAAAGTATTATAGGTACTTATTACCAATAGCACTTCAACTTCTCTAAGGAGTTTATGAAGTCAGCATATCGCCTCTTACAGTTTTGAGTCCTCATTTTATTCATCTCGGAAGGATGGAAGGCTGAGTCAACCTTGAGCCTGGTGAGATTTGATCTGCCAAATTACAGGCAGCCAGTAGTCAGCAGAAGTGACCTGCAGTAATGCACTCTAACCGCTGTGCCACCAAGGCTCTAGCCCAGGGCTGTGAAACTCAAGGCCCGGCGGCCCAATTCAGCCAGTGGGGTGCTTAGATCTGGCCTGAGGGGCCACCCTGGAAACGACAAAGGACTGGCCCACGGTGCCTCTGCCAGTGAAAACGGAGCTCGGGAGGGTCGCACGCGGCCTTCCCAAGCTCCATTTTCACTGGCACAGGGTTGCAGGAAGCCATCGCGGCTGAAAACGGAGCTTGGGAGCCCATTTTTGCTGGCAGAGCGCTCGGGCCACCACCTGCACCCTGGGCACGAGTGACGTTGAGCTGGGCATGCTCACCCTGGCCAAGTCCACCTAACCCCCACTCCCCCAGGTCAGTCACAACCTTGATAGCATTTTTTAAAAAAAAAACAGGAAACAGGCGGTCTGATGGAAGTTATGATCCTCAGTGAAATCGAGTTTGACACCCCTTCTCTAACCAGTGTGGCAAGAAAGGTCATCCTAGTGGAAAGATTGTTGTTCCATTCCCCTTAACCCCCCAACCCCCGCCACCAATCCTATCAGAACCCATCCTTCCATCTTCCCCCGCCATCAGAACCGATGAAGCTTCTTGGATGAGAAACAAAACTTTCTCTTCTTCTTCCTCAAGGGAAAAAGCAGTCCAGCTGTCATTCAATGAGAAAAGCACCTTTGAACAGTCTGGTAGCAGAGTCTTCCACAGGATCAAGGCCACAGCCAAAAAAAAAAAAAAAAAAGAGTCTCTTGAGACTTGTTTTTCTACTGCTCCAAACTGCAAGACTTGTAGAAGGGGCCTTCAGGTACAGAAAGGCAGATTCTGGCCAAAATGTCCCCCCGCCAAAAAAAGAATATGTTTCACCATAAGAGAAATGGAGACAGATAGTCCTCCACTTGGGACCTCAATTGAGCCCAACATTTCTGTCACTAAGTAAGACATTTGTTAAGTAAATTTTGTCCCATTTTAATGACTTTTCTTGCCACAGTTGTTAAGTGAATCAATGCAGCTTTTAAGTTGGTAACAAGGTTGTTAAGCTAATCTGGCTTCCCCCATTGACTTCGCTTGTCAGAAGGTCTCAAAAGGACTCTGCAACTGTCATAAATATGAATCAAATACTTTTGCCAAGTATTTGAATTTTGACCACGCGACCATGGGGATGCCGCAGCTTTTTTCAGTGCCATTGTAACTTCAACCAGTCACTAAATGAACTGTTGAGTCAAGGAAGATCTGTGCTGAATAATGAAACTAATGATCCTGAAAGACCAAACGGGCTGGACAAGCTCTCTGTTGGGAGGTTTTACATAAGATTCATCATGCCCTAAGCAAAATACAGGGGCTCCTTCAGTTCTAGGATTTTGAAAATCTCAAACTTGTGGGATCTGTTTTTGGAGATACAGGGTGAATCGTATATAAAAGTCTATCTGAAAGCATGGTTCTCATTTCATCTCTGATAGAAGAAAGCTAAAGCCTTGGGCAAACCTGTCTGGATGGATGAAATGACCCGAGCTGACCGGCAGAAAGACCGCCTATATCTTCAGAGACTGAAAGAGCGCCACGATTTCCTGAAGAATCCTCGCTTTTTCCCACCTAATTCACTGCATGGAGGCAAGTCCTTGATTCTGCCTCAGAAGAAGGCGGAGCGGATAATAGGAGGAAAGAGAAAGTTTGTGATGGAAAGGTAGCTCTTTCGAAAATACTTACCCAGCTGGCCTTCTTAGCTGCAGCAGTGATATTTAACTTCTCCTTCTCCCAAACTTTCTAGGACGTTCTATACCTGAATGCCTAAATCTTTATGTTGCTCAGGGAATACAGCCTGCTTATTGCAAAAAAAAAGGAAGAGGAAAGTTGGCACACAGTTGTTGCTTTTGATAGCAAGGTAGGGCACATCCTGCCTTCAAAGCCCAGCTGATTGCGAAGCGCAACTGTGGGAGCATTGCCAGTTGGCACATCTTCTGCTTTGAGAAAGTGAATTGATTCAAGAGGCTGAACATAGGGGAGTCGCCAAGCCTTTCAGGGCTCAGATTCAAAAAAAAAGTCCTCCCCCCCAAAATGTCAGAATCACAATATTCTTCACCTTCTCTTTCAGGAGGTCATGGGGTGGTTTATGTCTTCACCAAACTACAGTCTCTTTCATTTTGGATAAAACAAAGGGCCATGCCCACCTTTGAAGCAATAGGATGGCACAAAGTCAGGAAGAAACTGGGTGGACCCAAAACCAGAATATATGTTTGAGAGTGCAGTGTTTCTCAAAAGTTGTGTTCAGAAACACTGTGAGAGATTTCAAGGTAATGAAGTTCCAGGTAGTCCTCAGTTTACAACCACAATTGACCCCCCCCCCCCCAAATTTCCTGTTTGCAAGCAATACAGTTGTTATGTGAATTTTGCCCCATTTTACGACCTTTCTTGCCACAATTGTTAAGCGAATCGCTGCAGCTGTTAAGTTAATAACTTAATAGTTATCATTTTATTATTTTTATTTCTTGTATATGGTCTTTTAATATCTTTCTACGCCTTCCTGAATTGCCATTCGTGAGTAGGCAGCAATATAAATTTTCTAAACAAGTAAACTCCGTTGTTGAGTGAATCTGGCTTCCTCTATTGACTTTGCTTGCCAGAAGGTCACAAAAGGGGCTCACATGATCCTGGGACCTTGCAACCGCCATAAATACCAGTTGCCAAGCGTCTGAATTTTGATCATGTGACTGGAAGGACACTGCAGCAGTCGTGAGTGTGAAAAACGGTCATAAGCCACTTTTTTCAGTGCCGTTGTAACTTTGAACAGCCACTAAACTAACTTGTATGTTGAGGGCTGCCTGTACTAAACTCAGGCAGCCTAACCATTTTCTCCTGTCACATTAAATACCTGTAGACCAGGGGTGGGATATGACAGGGTTAACTACTGGTTCGGGATTTAAGAGCTTCCCTGCAGCCATGCGCCTGTAAATAGTCATCAGCAGCTGCCTGCAGAGAAACAGCCTTTGAAACAGCCCTTTTTTCTTGCTTTTCTAACTGCAGCTGTGCCTCGTTTGGCAGCTGAAGTTGAAAAATCAGGAAATAAAGATCAGGTAAGAGCCTGGGTGGGCTGATGGACAAAAACATCAGCAGACATAGAATCAGTTCTGTGTCTGCTGCTCTTCAGAGCTACTGGTTCTACAGAGGTGGACAGAACCGGTAGAAACCCACCCCTGCTATAGACATTTTTCTGGAGACGGTGTGGGGCTGAAAGCAAGCTCTGAGGACAATGCAATGAAGTAACCCCCATTCAGCCCAACCAGTCCTGGCTGACATGCAGCGCTCCTGAGAATTCTGTTGACCCTCTTTCTTTCTTTCTTTCTTTCTTTCTTTCTTTCTTTCTTTCTTTCTTTCTTTCTTTCTTTTAATTTCAGCGATTCCCAGTCAGTACCGATCTTCCTATCAAACCCTCCTGCAGTGGTGTTTACGGAATATGAAGTTGGGCAGGTTTATGAGGTAAGAGCCAGTCAGGAGAATTTCTGATATCTGCCAGGCCTCTTAATTGGCTTTTCTTCAGCTGGATCGGATGATCGTTTTTTCATTTCTTAATGAAGGAGTACTTTTAATTTAATGCAGGGAGTCCTCGATTTATGACTGGTCACTTAGCGATTAGTTCAGGTTTCAGTGGACCCACTAAAGATACTTGAGATTCCAAAGTTCAGACAGACAGACAGACAGACAGACAGACAGACAGACACACACACACACACACACACACACACACACGGTCACGTGACTGCATTTACAGTCATTTGCTGCATCCTGTGGTCATGTGACTGTATTTTTGCTGAAGAAATGGGCATTTATTTCTGGTTTCCGACAAAAGCCACCCCCATAATGACAATGGTTTTGGTTAATGACTGTGGCTCTCGTTTAAAGACAGCCACAAGAAAAGTTGTAAAATCAGGTTTGTCACATGGTGATCACTTTATGTCTGTGACAATTTAAAACTGCAATTGTCAGGCTCATATTACGTCCATAAGGACTACCTAAAAATCAAAACTATGAACTATTCTCTCCTTGGACTGTCACTTATCTGAAATGATATTGGGTCTCCGGCTCGAGCAAGGGGCTGGACTAGAAGACCTCAAAGGTCCCTTCCAGCTCTATTCTGATTCTGATTCTAATATCACAGTCAATCTTTTCACACAGGGACCCTTCTAATGTTTTTATAAATTTGAAGGCAATGAAAAACGTTTGCAGTAATAACTGCCAAAAATGTTCTGACTATTTTGGGTGGCGGAATAGTTGTGGGATTTTTAAGTATAAAAACTGGCTGTGCTTGGCTTGCAGATCCTTGACATATCCATTCCCACTAATTTTTACCTTCCCTTCATCCCACAATTTTTTAAAAAATCATCCATTTTTGGTGCTGTTGTTATGCTTTTGTGGGGGTACTCTTTGGATCACAAACTTTCTGGTGGAGCTGCACTGGCTCTATCCTTCTTTTCTTTCTTTGTAGATGACAATAGAGTTACAGAACATGACCTCAACATCCCAAGGTGTCAGAATTATTCCTCCAGCTACATCTGCCTTCTCGGTTGTGATGGGTGAGTTCTTGCCAGATGCTGTGATGTCAGTTTTTAAAACCAGATGGTTTTTGGCAAAAATTGGTTTCCAGGGATTGCTTCCAAAGGATGGAAATGGCCTCAAAATGATGCTACAGCAGGTGGCAGCACCTGACTATTCTTGAAAAAAGGCTAATCAGATCTGATTAATATATTTCATTTATTTATATCCCATCCTTATTATTGTTATAAATAACTCAAAGCAGCTAACATATCAAATACATCTTCCTCTTACCTTCCCCGCGGCAATAACCCTGTGAATTGGGTTGGGGAGAGAGGGGGAGAGAGAGAGAGGGAGGGAGGGAGGGAGGGAGAGAGAGAGTCACTTAAACCAAGTGGATCAAAATGGATGGAAAAACACTCAAGGAATCTCAGGATGACAGAATAGAATACAGGTAGCTTTTGAGTTATGGCCATAATGGAGTTCACACATTATGAATATAAATTGTGATTTTCATAAGTCGGGTTGGTTATGAGACTGGTTTCTTCTATCTTGGGGCTGTGTAATCATTTCTCCAAGTTGCTCCTTCCCCCAAGGCCAGTTCTAAAATCCTTTACACTATGGGAGAGAGCTGGCGTGCCTTACACATCTACCAGGTTCACACATGCTCTTAATCCATTTTTAAGCTTGGCGTATTAAATAAACCATAATCGGCTGGTTTCAGTCACCTGGCTAAATAATCAAATCAGATCAGATTATTTTATCATAATAGGAATGCAAAATTTTCAGGGCACTACATTAATGGTGGCCTTCATAAGAGCCATGAAAACCTGGCTTTTTCACCCATTCTTGTGTGTGGAGCTGGGTTGATTGATCTGTAATTCTCTTTCATAAATTTTACTACCTTTTTTTGCCACAGTTGCTAAGTGAATCATGCGTTTACTGAATGAATCTGGCTTCCCGCATTGACTTTGCTCGTTGGAACCAGCTGGGAAGCTCACAAAATGTAGTCACATGAGCCCAGGAGAACTGTCACTGTCATAGATAACGCGCCAGTTGCCAAGTGCTGGAATTTTGATCATGTGACCATGGGGATGCTGCAACGGTCCTAAGTGTGAAAAATCATTTGCAAGTCACTTTTTCCAGTGCCGTTGTAACTTTGAACTGTTGCTAAATGAATGATTGGGGGCTATCCGTGTACTGTACAAAGAGTTCCCCCCATCGTGGTGTTAATGTGCCAAGCACAAGCAACCCATCCTGTCAGAATTTTCTAATAAAAAGTCCTTCCTTTCCAGGGAAGTTTCCAGGTGAAGGTGGACTCGTTGCTCCTGGGATGAGCTGTTTCTACATCGTCCAGTTTATCCCTGAATATCTTTCAGATTACGATGATTACCTCCTGGTGGAATCGCAGGCAGCCTATCCGCTCCTGGTCCCTTTGCAAGGGAGAAGGCCGCCTCCTGTCTTAACATGTGAGCTGATTATGTGATGGTCACCCAGGGGAGAGTTTCTCTTTCAGTGCTGTGTGTTTCATTAGCAAAATGCCTCCTCACCCTAATCAGGGGTGCTGTGGGTTCGCACAGGTTCGGGCGATCCTCTAGCTAAGATCCCACCCCTGGCTGGCCCCTCCCCTCCCAGGAGTCCCCATGTTTTGGATGCCAGTAAGTGCAGGGTGCATGCGGAGGCTCAGGGAGGGCGAAAAATGGGCCTTCCAGAAGTTCCAGAAAGTTTCCGGCCTCCGAGCCTGGAAAAGATTGTTTTCACCCTCCTGAAGGCTTGAGGAAAGAGCCTCCGGAGCCCGAGGAGGGCAAACCCCACCACCCCCATGGTGCAGGAGGCCGACTAAGCCACGCCCACCATGGCCACGCCCACCCAGGAACTGGGCAGAGAATCCGGTTGCTGATATTTTTGAAGCCCACCCCTGATAATGAAAAGTAAGTGCAGGTAAGTCCTTAGCTATCAATTGAGGCCAACGTTCCCGTTGCTAAACGAGTCATTTGTTCAGTGCCATTTTACGACCTTTCTCCCCACAGTTGTTAAGCGAACCTCTGCACTTGTTAAGTTAGTAACGTGGTTAGTTAAATGAATCTGGCTTTCCCCCCATTGATTTTTGCTTGTGGAAAGGCCGCAAAAGGAGATCACGTGATCAGTGCTGTTGTAACTTTGAACAGTCTCTGTGGTTGTAAGTCGAGGACTACCTGTAACGATACCATTGAAACGTTCGATGTGTAAGATCGGGCCAAAGGTCCAGCATCTGTGACCAGCCATCTTTAGATATCTTTGCCTGCTTCATCTTTAAGTAGGGCAGCTTCATCCCCGTCGCACAGCTAGAGAATAGCAATAAAGGGGAATATTTGTAGCTCAAGGTTGACATGAGGCATCCTTGGTGCTCCCTGAGCTCGCTTGTTTTCTCACAGACCTTTCATTACCCAGACTGGGTAACATATAAGGATCTTGGAGCCTTAGTGGGACAACCAGCTAAACACAAGCTAGCACGGTGCACTGGCAGCCAAAAAAGCCAGTGCAATCCTAAATTGCATTAATAGAGGGATACAATCGAGATTAAGGGAGGTACTAATACCACTCTATAAAGCCTCAGTAAGACCACACCTAGGGTATTGCATCCAGTTTTGGTCACCACTCTATAAAAAAGGATGTTGAGACTCTAGAAAGAGTGCAGAGAAGAGCAACCAGGATGATGAGGGAACTGGAGACTAAAACATATGAAAAACAGTTGCAGGAACTGGGCCTGGCTAGTCTAGAGAAGAGAAGGACCAGGGGAGACAGGAGAGCAGTCTTCCAATATTTGAGGGGCTGCCACAGAGAGGAAGGGGGGGTCAAGCTATTCTCCAAGGCACCTGAAGCTCAGAGAGCACCAAGGACCCCTCCCTTGAGAACAGAAACCCGCAGAGCCTTGTCTCCCCCAAGTAACTTCTTCCTTACCTTTCCTAGTCTCCTGTATACTGTGGAAGCTGCTCTTCCAGATTTATTCACCATTTTTGACTTTAAATACCCGAAGCATGATTCTCACCCCTGCTTGCATTTGCTACTTTTTCATCTTCCCTTCTTTCAGTGCCACACATCTTGGACTGTGGAGCCTGCTTGGTGGGTGGAGTAAAATTTGTAGATTTTGAGTGCAAAAATGAAGGGCTTAGTGTTGGAAAATTTTGCATCATGCCGAAGGACATGTGGCCACCGCCTAACTTTCGGGTAAGTGTTACAGAACTGGATACTCTTTCCTTACCGCACCAGCCCTGTTGAACTAGAACCAAAAGGGGAAGATTTCTAGAAATCAGGGGGCCACCTATGTTGGTATTCTGGGTTTCTGAGGGACCAGAAGGGATCTGGCTATGGATATTACAGGTAGTCCTCTACTTTAAGAAATCTCTTTCTGAATATCCACCCCTTCTTCCATTTTGTCCGCTGCAATAGGCAGGTATTCATCCCTTGGTTGGTGGATTCCCCTGATTCGTTAGCTTCCTGTTCCAGTAAAAAGAAAGAAAAAGGAAAAAAAACCCACTAACTTAGAGTTTTAGATCCTGTAATATAGATGGTGAAAGTGCAGAACTTTTGCCAATTCCACTTGGTTAAAGAAAAAGTGTGCAAGGCGGGGCGGCTCCATCTTTTCTCTCCACTTCTCTGTGAACTTATGTGTTCACCCTGTGCAGAGAAGATGGAATGGAACAGAACAGAATAGAGAATATAGAATGGAATAGAACAGAACAGAACAGAACAGATGATGCTACTGCTGTCTAAATTGTAGGATGAACATTTGAGAAGCTAGATATGTCTAGCCTATCAAAGAGAAGGATTTGGGGGGCAGGGGCATGATAGCATTCTTCCAATATTTGAGGGCCTGTCACAGAGAAGAGGGGGCCAATCTATTCTCCAAAGCACCAGAGGGCAGGACAAGAAGCAATGGGTGGAACCTTGTTGAAGAAAGATCCAACCTAACCCTATGGAGAAATTACAGTTAGAAAATAATTCCTGATTTACAACTGAGTTATTTCTTCTTGTTAATTGACGGGCTGCCACAAAGAAGAGGGGGTCAACTTATTTTCCAAAGCACCCATGGGTAGTAGGACAAGAAGCAACGGATGGAAGCTAATGAAAGAGAGAAGCAACCTAGAACCAAGGAGACATTTCTTGACAGTGAGAACAATTAATCAGTGGAACAGCTTCTTTAATAAGTTATGGGTGCTCCATCACTGGAGGTTTTTAAGAAGAGATTGGATCAACCATTTGGCAGGGATATTATAAGGTCTGCCGTGAGGAGGGGGTTGGGGTTGGGGGTTGGATTAGAAGACTTCCAAGGCCTCTTCCAGCCCCATGATCTTCTGTGTTGCTTGTGAAAAGCAGGTGCCCTTGGCCAAAAGGGAGGGGGTATTGTGTGTCAATGCATAGGAGCAAATTGGGGTTTGCCTAAAATATAATAAATTGCATCTCTGCCTCAGCTGGCACAAGTCCGAAAAGCCAATTTTTTTTTTTTTTTTTTTTGAGGAATAGCAGAAACAGATGAGTGGAAGCTACCCAGGTTGAATAGTAGGAAAAATTAATCCCTTTGAAAAACAGTCAGGGTTCTCTCCTCCTTCTGGAGCAAACTGGTCATGAGAATCAACTCTTAATCTGATTCATTTTTTCCCCCTCCTCTTGATTTGAAGTCTGTCGCCACTCTGGGTTACGTGGAACAATATCCATTTGGGATTTGTCCAGCTGTCTTTGAACTTGCTCCGGGTCAGTCTATCCCAATCGAGGTCAGTTCCTGGCAATATCGCTCTTGTTTCCAGCATCCTTGCAAGCTTAATAATGCCGTTTTCATTTTATTTTCATTTCGGTTATTCTAAAGCAGGATATAGCCGATGCCCCCTTCATTTGACTAGGGAATCTATATTAGGATTGGTTGCTTTCAAATCCCCTCTTTGTAGAACTGTATCAGGTGGTTATTTTTTATGTAGTTATTTACATCCTGCCTTTATTATTTTCACCAATAACTCAAGGCAGTGAGCATGTCCAACACACTTTCTTACTCTTGTTTACCTCACAACGACAATCTTGTAAGGTGGGCTGAGCGAATGACTGGCCTACAGTCAGCCAGCCAGTTTTCATGTCTAAGGTGGGACTAGAACTCGGAGTCCTCTTATGATTGGCCCAAAGTCACTCAGTTTTCAAGGCTAAAATGAGACTAGAACTTATGGTCTCCTTCTTTCTAGCCTGGTGCCTTAACCACTAGACCAAATTTTATATTGAGTTGTTGTTATAGGAAACGTGCTTTGTTCACAGTTTGTTTTCACACTGAAAGACAAGTGTCTCACTTAGCAACAGAAATTTGGGGCTCAGTTGTGGTCATAAGTCGAGGGCTACCTGTAGTAAGGACATTTGCAACAAATTTTTTTTTAAAAAAAATGTTTATAGAATAAGAATTAGAAAGATGTGAGAGTTATAAATCACTAACTGGGATTCTCAGAGAATTGCCAAACTACATAGATGATATTTACCACTTTTAGTTTCTGATCTCTTCGAATTTTTTTCCTTGCGATTACTGGTGTTTTGTTGATGCAGAAATGTTCATTTTCAGGTAGTGTTCATGCCCGTTTCTGCTGAAATCCTATCAGTGACATACATCACCGTTTGTGACAACTGCCATATCAACGAGATTATCGTGACAGGTTTGCCACTAACATTTCTTTGTGGTTTTTTTTCCCTGTTAAATCTAAAATGCCTGAGGTTTGAGCTAGAGGTTGGACATCACTAATAGCAATAGCATTTAGACTTATATACCACTTCACACTGCTTTACATCCTTCTTTAGGTGGTTTACAGAGTTAGACTCCGCCCCCCCCGCCCCCCCGCCCCTGCCAATCTGAGTCCTCATTTTATTGACTTCAGAAGGATGGAAGACTGAATCAACCTTGAGCCAGTCAGGCTCAAACTGCTGGCAGTGAGCAGAATTAGCCTACAGTATTGCATTCTAACCACTGCTACCACAGCTCTAGTAAGATCCTTTGACTGGCAGCATCACATTTGCAGTTGAAGTCCTCCAGGTGCAAATTAACAAAACTACAAGTCAAACTGATAGATTCTTAGACATTTCATTATTTTTAACATAGCATTAGAGAGCCAGGATAATGTTCGAGTAGTCCTTGAGTTATCACCACAACTGAGTTTCCTTTGCTAAGCAAGGCAATCATTAAGAGGATTGCACTTGATTTAATAACCTTTTTTTGCCCTATTAAGCAAATCCACTGCAGTTATTAAGTGAATTTGGTTCAATTATCAGGCGATGGGGAGTTCTAGTCTTGCCTTAGGCATGAAAACCACTTGGGTGACTTTAGTCCCTCTCTCTCAGCCCAACCAACCTCACAAGGTTGTTCTTGGCAGAAAACAGGAGGAGGAAGGAGAATTAGGTATGTTTGCCACCATGAGTTGTTTATAAAAATAATAAAAATCGGATGGATGGATGGATGGATGGGCCAATACATGGTAACTTGATATGGGTGAATGTTAAGAAAAGCTTCCTAATGGTAACAGCATCCTAGTGGGATGTATTTAAGCAGAAATGAGCCCACCCTCTGTAGGAATAATTTAAGTCCTGCAGGGAGGAACTCCCCCACTGATGGTTCGACGTGGTGGCTTCTTGTGGCCCTTACAACTCCAAGATATTACGATAAATTGCATGGTGAGCTAATCATCTCGTCCCTATATCTTTGTGGCAAGATTTTAAAGAAAGATTCTTCCATTCATCCCCAGGACTCGGAGAGGTGATAGCGTTGGAACTTTTGTCCGTTTCTGGTGGAGAGAGCACTCCTCTGCCCGGGGAGCTCATAGACCTGACCTCGCAGCATCTTGTTCGCTTTAATCCACTGAATCCGCATTCGATGGCAGAGAAGACACTGATTGTGAGAAACATCACGTACGTATGATGCTTGTATTGTAGTGCAGGAATGGGAAGATTTGGGCAGGTCTGCAGGATGTGGTGGGGAACAGACCCAGATGCACTTTCCCCCCTAATTGAAACGAGTGAGATTTAAATCATGACTATCTTCCAATAAATCACACTGATCCACACTGAGTACCAGTTTACTATAATGAATACGGCATCTGGCTAGAAAACAAGAGACTGTGAATGTTCTAGTTCTGCCTTAGGCATGAAAGCCCACTGAGTGACTTTGGCCAAGCACCAGGAGACTGTGAGTTCTAGTTCTGCTGTAGGCATGAGAGCTGGTGGGTGACTTTGGGCCAATCACCAGAAGACACCAGGAGACTGTGAGTTCCAGTTTTGCCGTAGGCATGAGAGCTGGTAGGGTGACCTTGGGCCAGTCACCAGGAGACGGTGAATTTGAGTTATCTCTTCACGTATAAAAATTGTCTGGGTGACTTTGAACCAATCACCTGGAGACTGTGAGTTCTAGTTCTGCTTTGGGCACGAAAGCTGGTGTGTAACTTTGGGCCAATCACCAGGAGACGGTGAGTTTGAGTTTGACACATCTTAGATATGAGAGCCAACTGGGTGACTTTGGGACAGCCATTCTCTCTCAGTCGAACTCACCCTGAAGCCATGTTGTTGTGGGGAGGTATATTTGGTATATTTGCTACCTTGAGTTCTTTATAAAAATGAAAAAGGTAGGATTAAAATAATCTAAACAAAATGTTCTAAGTCACTGTGAGGAATCTTGTTCCTAATCCCCATCAAAAATGGAGCTTGAAATATTTGCCCATCTTGTCCCAAATGTGCTTTTCCAAAAGGTATTTGGACTTACTTTGTTTTTCCTTGAAGATGTCTCGCTTTCCCAAGAAGCTTCAGGCCAACTGGCAGAGCCGGGTCTTCAAGCTCTTATGGAAGGATAGCTGGGGTGGGGGCAGAACTCACCCTGCAGGAGGGTGGGATGAGTAAGAGAAGGACTTGCTTTCCAGTTTCTCAAACTCTTTTTCTTGAAGGCTTTTTCTTGAACTCTTTCTAGATAAAACGGTTTAATTATCTGGATTTAGACATCCATATATGACAACTGCACGGATGGAGTTCGTTCACTCCAGTGTACGATTGGGTCTGGTTTTCACTCCATTTAATCTCTTGAGAATTAATTGACTAAGCATATTGGTTTCTTTTGGATATTCTCATAAGAGAGCCCCTTTTCTACTGACCTGGGACATAGCGTTGTGTGAACAGGGCCAATGTGGAGCCCCTTCAACATCCTAGACCAAATTTCTCCATTACGGTTGAACAGTTTTGCTTTTCAGAGAGGAGAGGAGAAAGGCCCATAACCAAAGAACACAGAAAGCACAAAGAAACCCTGATTGTGGCATATCAGGGTGGAGGTTAAGTACAGACTCTATGGCTTGATTTCTATAGAAAACAGAAAACTTCCTGTCTACCCTCTACTAGACCAAGTATGACCCAGCTGATTAAGCTTGACAATGTCCAGATTTCCACAGGACAAACAGATAGAGGAACAAAAGAGTCCATTATGGGAACCATCGCATAATGCTTTAACTGATGGCTCTATCTGGACATGCAGTGACTGCTTTTAAGACTCTAGTCTCGTACGTTGATTGATTAGGGTGTGTTGGGAAGGCATTTACTGGCAGCTGTCACTGATTTCTTGATTTATTTTAATGACGAATTGTCTTGCAAGCCACTGCAGTTGCAAGACTCTAGGTGGTTGCCAGGAATAAAGTCAATGAAAAAAATAAAATATGCACACTAAAATGAAAATCGGTTCCATAATTGGACATTCCTTAAAAAAATAATCAGAAGCCAATGTTTCCTATTTGGGTGAGAGTCATTTCTTTTGATTAAACTACCCTGAAGAATATATGAGCCGTGTGCATGAGGGAGAGTATAAGTAGTCCTCAACTTATGACTACAGTTGGGCCCAAAATTTGTGTTGCTAAGTGAGACCGCAAAGGTGCTTTTTTTCAGGAGACAACTGGACTTCCTTGTTTTTTCTTTTGAAGATGTTTTGCTTCTCATCCAAGAAGCTTCTTCAGCTCTGACTAGATGGCCAGGAATGGAAGGATTTATGTTCCTTGCAGACAGCTGGTCATTTGCATTCTTTGAGAGAGTTGTTGAGGCCACTTGGAGGTTTATCTTTGTCCTCAAGGTCCCCTGAGTAGTGCTCCTGGTTCCTGTAATCTGCAATTTTTCTACTATCCTGTCAGAGCTGAAGATTCTTCTTGGATGAGAAGCGAAACATCTTCAAAAGAAAAAGCCAAGAAAGTCCAGCGGCCTCTTGAAAAAAACACCTTTAGGACAACCATGATCTGGAGGACTGAGACTCTCTACAGACTTTTGGCTAAGTGAGACAGTTAAGTGATTTCCCCCCCCCCCATTTTATGACATTTCTTGCCAAAATTGTTAAGTGAATCACTGCAGTTGTTAAGTTAGTAACCTGGTTGTAAAGTGAATCTGGTTTCCCCATTGACTTTGCTTGGCAGAAGATCCCAAAAGGTCCGGGACGCTTCAACCGTCATAAATATGAGCCAGTAGTCAAACCTCCAAATTTTGATCATGTGACCATGGAGATGCTATAACGGTCATAAGTGTGAGAAATGATCGTAAGCCACTTTTTTCAGTGCTGCTGTAATTTCAACTGCTCACTAAATGAACTGTTGTAAGCTGAGGACTACCTATAAATGTGACTAGCTTAGCACTCTGTCATCATAATTTCTCCACTTCTACTCTCCCTAAGTCCCTTGCCCAGGTGGGCTTTTCTGGAAGGAAAATAAGATGCCAGAAGGGCACTTCGAACAAAGAAACATACGCATCATGGTGAACTTCGTGTTTTAAAAGTTATCAAAGAGTGACTGTAGCTGGAAAGCCCAGCTAGGCATGTGTCTAGTCACCATGAAGAAAAGGTTGGTACTGCCATCCCTTTGTGTGTGTGTGTGTGTGTGTGTGTGTGTGTATGTGTATGTGTATGTGTGTATGTGCACGTGCGCACACACACACACACACAAAGCGTATATACCTGCTGTCAGAAATTACATTAATTAAATTGTAGGACAATATGATTAGTTTATAACTGTCCTGTAAAGCAGTGTTTCTCAGCCAGTGTAAGATATGTAGACTTCACATTCCAGAATTCTCCAGCCAGCACGCTGACTGGGGAATTCTGGGAGTTGGAGTCCACATATCTTACGCTGGCTGAGGTTGAGAAACATTATTCTAAAGCCTCAGACCAAGGTATTTACTTGCAGTTTGGAACCTGATGCCTTCTATAACCAGAACACAAGCATATTGTTGTCACTGTTCCTCTCTTTCTAATGTGGGTGAATCATAGCTTGGGGATGGAGGTAAAGATTTTTGAGCAATAGCTCAGTGGCATAACTTGTGGGAGGCCGCTGAATCAACGCTTGGTAAAGCCAGCCAAAAGGCATAGGTAACAGGTGAGGAAGCAAGCCTTATGTCTCACCTGCTTTGCTATGAGTATCAGGTAAAGTGACCAACTTGGAGGCCTAGAATCCAACTTGTTGGATTCTTTTGGGGGAGCAGATGCTGCAGGTAGCTATCCTGGTCCCACAGCCCCATAGTTACAGGACTCACATGGATAATTAAATGCTTTTTTACTGTCAAACACAGGATCCAAGGTTGCTAACTTATAGGTAGAAACCCCTTGTCTGGGAATTTTATAAATCTCTTTCATTCAGAGGGGTTTATAGTTTTGAATGAAGCAGGTCCTTTTTCCTATTTACAAATGTGATGCTGAATTCAGGATGGTTGTGAAATTCAACCTCTCACTAATTTTTTTTTTATTCATTTATCCTGTTTGGATCTGTGACTACCAAGTCTACAAAGAAAACAGCCAAGCTCAGAGAGTGCCAAGGATCTCTCATTTTATTCCTGAGTTATAAATATTCTCCTTTATCGAAGTTTAACTTAAGAGTTTTCTTCCATTTCTTATCTTGTAGGCTTACAATAAAAAGGACAGTTGTCAATGAATTTCTTTCTTATTGCCTTTATACAGACACATAGAACTTCCTTTCTTCTGGCAGATAGTGAAGCCCAATCTGCAGTCACCAACCCTGGAAGGGAAAATGGACATTGCAAATATAAAGTACAACCTGGACACAGAGACCGCTTTCTCTGTCATTCCTAGTTCTGGGACTCTGCATCCCCATTCTGATCACCCATTCACCCTCTGTTTCTCTCCACAGCAGGTATGGTTCCCTACCAGGCCTTTTTTAAAAGACCCTGCATTGACTTTTTGCAAAACGTGTTGATAACTTTTTGCGGGAAATAACTCTTGCAAGAGTCAGATCCTTCCGATTACACTTCTGGTTAAACCTGGCATGGCTGTTCATTTCCAAAGCTCTCTCCAGATCCAGCATTTTTATCGACCTATTTTGAGGAAGACGAGGCAGGGGGGGAAGTAGCTGCAGAAGCTAGAGGTCTGGTCTCCTTTGCAGCCAGAATGGGCCGCTGGGGTGGACAAAGGGAACAGATTGAAGGAGGGTAGAGCAGAAACAATTGGTGCCACAAGGTTTCTGGTGTAGAACATGTCCTCCAATATTGTGAGGCAGAATAATTAAAGGAAGTACATTTCCACTTTCACAGCTGTTTGGACTGCCTTAGTTGTGGGAAGTCATTGATATTAGCAAGACTGATTGAGAAATGCTCGGCTCTAGAGATAAACTGCTTCAGCCGTGATAATCATTTACTGCCCTGTCTCTGTGATAAGTACCCTTAAAGTAAGCTATACATTCTTGCAGGTTTACAAGAAAAAGGACAAATATATATTTATAGTATACATGAAAGTTCTTTGCATATAAACTATCCACTATTTTGTCCCCTGTTACAGCTAAAGAAATACCACAGCGTGCTTCAAATAGTGCTGGAGGATATCCCAGCATCACATTGGTAAGTTTTCATGACGCCTTTCTGATCTGGATAGTTACCCATTTTGATATTCTTGGCCGATTAGATTAGAGGTAGTCCTCAATTTCTGACTGCAGTTGAGCCTGGAATTATGGTTTCAACTCGTACTGGTTGTTAAGCGGATTACCGTGTGACTGCCTGATTTCGCAACCTTTTTAAACACTTTTCAACACTGAAAAAAAGTGACAACACCGTTTTTCACATGATTGTTGCAGCAGCCGTGTGATCAAAATCCAGGCGCTTGGCAACTGACTAGGATGGCTGCAGTATCCCAGAGATCTTCGGACAAGCAAAGTCAATGGGGAAGCCAGATTCACTTAACAACCGCGTTACTAATTTAACAATTGCAGTGATTCACTCAACAACTGTTGCAAGAAAGGTTGTAAAATGGGGAAAAACACACTGAATCTCATTTAGCAACAGAAATGTTGGGCTGCATTGCTGCCACAAGTTGAGGACTAGCTATAGAGATGAAATGAAACCTATGCCATATTCTGACTAGGTGGAACTGTGGGCAAAGGTTAGTCTATTAACTCATTTTCTGCACTCTTGGAGGGCACAATCTCTGCATGCAAAGGAGAGAGAAGGGACCTTCTTAGCATGATATTCTGTCCTCCTGTTTGCCTTTCTCTGTCCAACTAGCCCTCAGCTCTGATCCCTGAAAGACAATTTTTGTGTACAAAGCTTAGGTCAGACCATAGGTGGCGTAATTCTAAGTTGTCTGGGTCCAAAATTTCAAGCCTGGTGGCATAAGGTAATTATTGTGAGCAGAAGAGTGGAGGACTCTTCTCGTGAAATACTTCCGGACTCACTCAAATGTATTAATGTCCGTTAAACAGTGTGGATTCCAGGCAGATGAGCTATATTCGAGAATTGGTCTGGCAAAGATTTTGTATTAGTAAGATTTGCTCCTAATTTGGAATGCAACATTTAAAAAACTGAAACCATTTTTCTTGGGTAGTAGAAGAGAGATGGGATCAAGTGGGCAGCACAATTCTCTGTGGGCAATTGTTGTTTGGAAAGAGCCCCTTTTATATATCTGCTGCAATACATTTACATATGTCACTTGTTCCTTGTTTAATTTTGTTTGGGTACATAAACACAGCTTTGTGTTTCCATGAAAGTTTTCTTATTTTCCTCCTCCTTTCAATTTTGGTACATTATAGCGATAACCCCCCCACCGCTGGAAAAAAAATCATATTTGGGGTGTATCGTTTTAAAGGTTGCTAGTATATCGGTGAAGCAACTGTGCAAGCATAGTTTTCTGTTAAAGGAAAAATTGCACTGAAGATGCTCCTTTTAGGACCCACCTTTCCAAGAGCCATTTTAAACCTATTCTTTATGCAGTCTTCAGAATTCAGAATACTACGAAAGTGGAGAACGGAGAAAGGAAGATGTGATTGTCTTAGAAATCGACACCAAAGGCTCCACGGAACCATTTCAGGTCTTGCTGGAACCTTCTGCTATAATCATTCCGGGAGAAAACTACATTGGTGTGAATATTAGGAGAACATTTAAGGTAAATTTCCTTCTGTCTCCACGTTCAGTTTAGGGATTGACTGTGCAACTTCATCTGTAAAAGAATGGTAACTCTGTATAATAAGGACAGCCAGTCCTTGACTTACAACCACAATGGAGCCCCATATCTCTGTTGCTAAGCAGGACGTTTGTTGATTACATTTTGCCCCGTTGTGTGACCTTTCTGCCACATTTGTTAAGTGAATCCCTTCAGTTGTTAATTTAGTAAAAAGGTTGCTAAGTGAATCTGGCTTCCCCATTGAGTTCGCTTGGAAGAAAGTCTCCAAAAGTGATCGCATGATCCCAGGACACTGCAACCATCGTAAAAGTGAACCACTTGCCATGTGTCTGAATTTTGATCATATGACCTTGGGGATGCTGCAGTGGTCTTAAGTTTGAAAAGCAATCCCAAGTTATTCTTTTCAGTGCCTTTGTAACTTGAAACAGTCACTAAACAAACCATTGTAAATTGAGGACTACTTGTATATTATTCTGGAAATAATATTTGAAAGCAACTTATGCTTGACAGATAATTTGACAGTTGCCCAAGTTTGCTTTCTTTCTCTCTTTCTATACAATCCTACATCACCCTAAACCTTAAATTCATGTTATCAGATTAAAATCTGGAGATTTAACCTTCATTAGACACGAAGATATCTTGGTTGCAAGATTCATGTAGGCGATGCCCAGGCTGAGCATGAGGGCAGGGCCAAATGCGTCATCAGTCTGGAGTCCCTGTGTATTTAAGATGGTCTTGAGATCATGAGATCCCCTTTTGCAACCCTCCCAGCTGGCTTCCAAAAAGCAGATTCAAAGGGGGAAGCTGGATTTGCTTAACTCCATGATTCACTTAACAATGATGCAGTGATTCATTTAACAACCATGGCAAATAAGGTGATAAAATTGACTAAATGAGCACAACTCATTTAGCAACTGCCTTGCTTAGCCATGGAAATTATGGTCATAATTGTGACCGTAACTCAAGTACTATCTGTGTTTTAATTAAAAGAAAATGAAGACTTTTATCCTATATGAGGGGATTAACTGCTCCTTATTTTCTGGAATTGTAGATGCTTAATAATAGCAACTCTGCCATCACATTTAGATGGGGGAAAATCTTTGACTGCGACATAGTGGAAGTTGAACCTTCTACCGGAAAGTTAGGTAAAATCTCTTTTTATCGTTGGCTATAATAAAGAGAATATTAAAATAAGGAAACTTGGTAAGTAAGACCACCCTTGCAATACTGCTTCCAGTTTTGGTCACCACAATGTAAAAAAGATGTGGGAAGCAGAAAGAGTTCAGGGAAGAGCAACAAAGATGATAAACCATACGATGAATAATTAAGGGGATTGGAATGTCCAATGATAGCAGTCTTCCAATATTTGAGAGGCTGTAACAGAGAAGAGAGGGTCAGTCTATTCTCCAGAGCACCTGAAGGCAGGAGAAGAAGCAATGGGTTGAAACTAATCAAGGAGAGAAGCAACCTAGAATAGGGGTCGCCAACCTTTTGAACCTCAGGGACCACCAAACTCAATCATTTTAGATCCCAGGGATCACTAATATGAATTTTGACTGATGGTGGCTTCCTGACATTTTCCCAGGGTCTCTGCAAAAAGCACCTTAGGAAAATCCCCCCCAAAAAATCTGCAGGAAAATTCCCCACCCCATTTTCCTATGATCGAGTCATTCTTTATTTGGAATCACAGGATACTGTCTCCAGCTCCGTTCTCAGGGGGAGAAAAAGAGAAAGAGAGGTGGGGGGAGACTTGGCTCTGTGCAAGGAAAGCAGCAGAAGTCTTTCTTTCTCTCCCCCAAACTCTGCCAGAACTGAGTCTTTGCTGGCACAGCCTCTTGGAGCAGGATGCCTTGCAGGGTCCCAAAGACTCATTTCTGGTGGAGTTTGGGGGAGAGAGAGAAAGACTTCTGCTGCTTTCCTTGCGTGCAGCCAAAAGCAGAAGAAGAAAGAAGCGGAAAGAAGCAGCCCGGTGGCCAGGCGAGGTTCATGGGGCGAGTGGGGCGAGTTCCCCCCCCCCTCCGCCCTTTCCTCCCTCCCCTCGCTACCTTGCGCTGTTTGCAATGCAAGCGACGCGAGCCTTGTGTTCCCGTGGGCCATGTGGATGGTGCAGCCTTGTGCTCCTGCGCAGCCTGGATTAATTGCTTTGGGGGGTGACATTTTTCTGCGGACCACCAAAATTTTCTCACAGACCACCAGTGGTCCCTGGCCCACTGGTTGGCGACCAGTGACCTAGAATTAAGGGGAAATTTCCTGACAGTAAAAACGATTGATCAGTTGAACGGCTTCCAGAAGTTGTGGGTGCTCCATTGCAGGAAGTTTTTAAGAAGGGATTGAACAACCATTTGTCTCAAATGGTATAGGGTTTCCTGTTTGAGCAGGGGGGTGGACTAGATGACCTCCAAGGTCCCTTCCAATCCCGTTGTTCTGTTATTTTCTATTAATCAAGGCGCATTGTGGGATACTGATTTTAGTTTGGGAAAAATTGTTGTCTTTTTTTAAAAAATTACATTTCCCCCCCCCAGGAATAAGCCTTAAGGGAAGTACTTGTCTTTTCTAGATGCAGGCGGAAGTCATGTGTTTGAGTTTGTGATCACAGGAGGGAAACCGGGCCATTCCTGTCACAAGCTAGAATGTGAAATCACTCACTCAGAGGAGTCTGCCTTTTTGTACATCGAGGCTGACTTTAAGGTAGGAACGTCTTCACCAGGTTTTACCTCTCAGATGAATTTTCACGGCATCCTCCCGATGGTAACCTTGAACTAGAAATTCTAAGAGTTGTCGTCATGCATTATCGGGCCACGGGAATGGATTATGTACGCATTTATAAGGAGACCAGGTTTAAATATATGAAATGTCTTATTATTGTGCTGGTATCGAGCAGAAAGTCGCTATTCCAGTTCACCGTAAGAGAAAAAAAAATGAGGGAACAGAATTGAGAGAGGGTGCCATTCCTGCATCCTTCAATCTTGTTCATATCTGGCTATTTCAGAACGCTTCAGAGATTGAGTATTTCTGGCCCTGATGGATGTTTGGTTTCATGTTAGTGGATAGTGTTTAGGAACAGATTGTCCTGGAGCAAAATCTGTTGTGGCTCCGGGTCTGGATTCTGCTCCTGTGGCTGATATGAGTTCAAGTGAGGAGGACATGGCAGAAAAATATGAGCCGGCATGGCTCAGTGATTGGAATAGTAACCAGGATGAGGAGATGGATGTAACAAAGGAAGACAGACCTGAAGTATTAGAATTGTCAGGACCTTTGACCTCCTCTGGTTCTTTATCTGATCAGCAGCCAGGAATGGCTGACAGGGAAGGCATGAGAGAGTTTTCTAGTGGAGATGAGAATTTGGAAAACTTGTGGTTAAACGTAAGGAACAGAAGGAGACTAAGGAGACAAACCCAGTTAGAAAGAAGGAGGAGAGCGAGCCAATAATTAGGGAAATTAGCACGTTGCCTAAGTGAATAAAAGGACACAGCTGGGCTGGTAGAATTCGCCAGAAGCAAAGTGACTAATTGAGAGTGAAGACGTTACAGCAGAAGCCCTGAGGCTTGAGATTTATTGCCATGACAGGTTTGCTGGACAGAGTAAAGATTTATGCTGTGGATTGGGATTTATGCCAGCCGTTATCTTGTGGGACTTTGTTTTGGTTTGAATTACTTCTGAAACGGCTGCTTTTTGTTTTGCTCGCTTGAATTTGAAGGGGAGTCATAACAAAAATCTATCCACTGCATCTGTTTACAAGAGTGGATAAACATTAAGGCAGAATTCCAACAAATAGCCTGAACTTGCAAAGATGAACTCAGGAAAGCTAAGGCTCAGAATTAAATAAGACTCGCAACAAATATTAAAAACAATACAGAACTTTCTTTCAACATATAAATAACAAGAAAAAAAGTCAAGGAAACAGTCAATCCACTAAAGAGAGAAGATGGCAGCAACAGGTAGGAGAAAGCAGAGCTGCTTAACTCATTCTTTGTATCGGTCTTCAACCTACCAAAAACCTGTCTTTTACAGTTGTGAAAGTCAGACTAGAAATAAAAATAAAAATTAGCAAAAAAGGGGAAGAGGACACTGTCTGACTTTGACGAATATAAATCACTGGGACCTGACAGATTACATCCCAGAGTTCTGACGGTGGTGGCAGATGTCATCTCAGAACCATTGTACCTTATCTTTCAAAGATCCTGAGGAACCAGGGAACTGCCGGAGGACTGGAAAAAGACAACAATAATTGATATTACATAATATGTTTTTTAAGATATTTGCACTGGAATTGCATTTTTAAACTTTGTGTTTATTTTTTACCTTTATTTGCTCTTTACGAACATAGCTTAGAACTGTGATGGCGAATGTAATGGCACGCAGAGCCATCTTTCTAGCACACCAGCCATCATCCAGATTCCGGCGCACATGTGCGCCGGCCAGCTAGTCTTTGCACATGTGGGAGCACCAGAAAGTGGAAAAGCAGCTCCCAGCACATGCATGCACACCGGCCACCTGGTCTTCTGGTTTCTAACATGTATGCACATGTGAAGACCAGCTGACTGGCGCGTGCAAAGCAGGTGCGTTAGAAACCAGCCAGCCAGCTGGTCTTTGCGTGCGCATGTACGTAAGAAGCTGGAAGACCAGCTGGCTGGCACACATGTGCGTTGGGAGCTGCTCTTCCAGTTTCCAATGTGCGCACGGATACACATTTCGACATTTGGTGCCTTTTCGGCATGCACGCTCCAAAATAAAGGCATTGAGTGTTGAAAAGGTTAACTACCACTGGCTTAGAACCTTTTAGATCAAAGCAGAATTCAGAAACCATGTGCCCATTCTGGTTCACAACAATTGAAGAATAGATTGCTGTTTCTTAAACCTGAACCTTTCTACAGTCCTTTCCAAGAATGGTTTGGTTCTCTGGCCAGCCTCCAAGTCCTATGATCTATGGAATGCCAAGAAATGGAAGTATGGTAAAAATCTGGAGCAGAGTTGTCCTCAAGATTTGTTCTCAAAAATTAAACATGACATTAAAAAGCAGTCAAAACTTTGATCGTGGCCTCCATCTTGATATTCATTTGTTTTACCATACCCTGCAGACATCCCTGAATGTGACCATATCCTTCGCATAATAATAATAATAATAAAAGAAGTTTCTTTCAACCTGTAATTGGCCTAATTTTTCCTAGGGGCCTCTTCTTACCATTGACGTGACGTCCTTCGATATGGGTCTGATTAAACTGGGAGAAAAAGTGAAGTGTGCTTTGGAAATAGAAAACTTAAGTCAGCTGCCAGGAAAATGGAAAATGCAGGAAAGACCTACCTGCATAACAGAAAGAGGCGAGGAGGTAAGGTTGCTCCGTGATCCTTTTCATCTCATTTCCCTAAATCTGACATCTGCTTCACTGACTTATTCACTGGTTGTCGGATCACAGCCAAGAGATTTCCCCATTGCCTTTGCCTTCTTGATTTGGGTACCCTGTGGCTGGACATGGGTTCAAGTTGGAAAGCTCTCTAATGCAGAACACTAGTCGAGCCATCCTCAACCTGATACAGGTAGTCCTCAACTTACAGCAGTTCATTTAGTGACCATTCAGAGTTACCACAACACTGAAATAAAGTGACGCATGACCATTTTTCACACTTACGACCTTTGCGACACCCCCAAATTCAGACACTTGGCAACTGACTCATATTTATGACGGTCGTTGTGTTCCTGGTCATATGATTCCCCTTTGGCGACCTCCTGACAGGCATAGTCAGTGGGGGGAGCCAGATTCACTTAGCAACCGTGTTACCAACTTCACCAACTGCAGTGATTCACTTAACTGGCGAGAAAGGTTGCAAAATGGGGCAGGGCTCACTTAACACATGTCTCACTTGGCAATGGAAATTTTGGACTCGGTGGTAGTCATAAGTCGAGGGCTACCTGTATTCTGGATTGTTTGAACAATATGTCCCGTCATTCTCCAACCAGCCTAGAGGATTCTGGGTTACATGAGCGCTCAACTTTTCTTTCTGCAGGTTTCGGCATTCAAAATTCAGCCTTCTAGTGGGGAATTGTGTCCGCTGGGCAAATGCCGTGTCTCGGTGTTGTTTACATCATATACATGTCATCATCTCCAAACTGTATTAGAGATGGACGTGGAAAATGGAGTTGGAAGGTGAAGATGGAAAAAGGAAAAGAAGCCATTCCAATTTCTGAGAATCAAATTTTCCCAGCAAATACAGCTGATCAAAATGTTTGAGCCACTGTAGAGAAAGTAAGGTAGAAGTTAGCTGCCACATTGAAAGTGCATTAATAAAATAAGCGTCCCATTTATTAAATATATACTGTTTTCTTATGGTTGTACCAGATATAGGAATTGGGTTATACATGTTTTTTTTTATTTTATTTATAGGCCATCAGAATCCCAAATGAATCTGAGTGGCTTATAACCAAAAGATAATTTATTAAAATACAATAGAAAACAGTAAAATTCCAGAAAACAGAAACAAAAGTATTTATTTTATTCCCAGCTTGCTTGCTGGAATTTTAACTTAGGGCATTTTATTTGGCATTCATTGCTGAGCTGCTGTGATGTCACGAAATGTTTAGGAATATCCTCTCCACTGAATGAAATAAATGGCCAACAGCAAAAGTTGGCCAATCTGTTCAGTTGACCTAGAAATTCTCCTACCAGCCTTTTGGGCACAGGAACTGTGAGTTGCCCAAGTATGAGATGGGCAATGAATGAATGAATGAATGAATGAATGAAAAGGCTGAAGAGTCAAGAAACAGAGGAAAGAGGTTTGAAACAGAAAGCAGGCCAAATGCTGAATTAGTAAGCCGGAATTTGGAGAAATGTAGATAAAAGGTGAAGAAAAAGGGCAGCAAAAGTAGCAAAAGAATGAAAGGGGGCTTATATATACAGGTAGTCTTCAACTTACACAATTGAGCACAAAATTTATATTGTAAAATGAGAATTTGTTAAGTGAGTTTTGCCCCATTTTACAACATTTCGTGCCACGTTTGCTAAGTGAATTATTGCAGTTGATAAGTTAGTTGGTTCGTTAAGTGAACCTGGCTTCCCCATTAACTTATCAGAAAGTTGCAAAAAGTCATCTCATGACCTAAGGACACTGCAACGGTCATAAGTACAAGCCAGTTGCCAAGCGTCTGAATTTTGATCACATGACCATGGGGATGCTGCAAAGGTTGTAACTGTGAAAAACGGTCCTAGGTCACTATTTTCAGTGCCATTGTAACTTTGAATGGTCACTAAGTAAACTATTGTAAGTTGAGGACTACCTGTATATTCATCCTGGGCAGAATGTAACCCTTCCCGAAAGCCTTCAGTTTGTCCTGGGTTAGAGTTTTTCCACCTTGCCCCTTGAAGATGTGATAACTTCAACTCCCAGAATTCCCCAGGCAGCCATCTTCAAGTGGCTATGGTTCAGAGACATTGGTCCTTTTGCTTATCATCAGGGGCTTGTACACCAGCATTGATGATCATTGATGATGATTGAGCACCTCACTCTCTTTCCAGCCACATCCCTATATCTGTGGAGGTTCAGGTGCCCCAGGTGTGTCTGCTGCCGAGTCACCTACACTTCAAACTTTCCATTGGGATCCCCGCCGAGGCAACAGCCCACCTATTCAACCAGACGATGCTCCCCACACCCTTTAAATGGGGAGAGGTAAGTGATTAGCTCGTGGCGTTCACCACCAGTCCAGAGAATCCCATCTTTGGCCTCCTGTTAAATGATCTACCACCCTGATTGGCTTGACAGCTCCTTGGAAGCCAGGTGTCTTCGTGTATGCTGAGCATCTCTCCAGAAAGTGGCGTTTTGGGCCCAAATGAGAAGAAGGAGTTCCGTGTGGTGATGACATATAATAAGAAGGTTAGTTTGCGCGGAAATCCTTGCCTCTCAACACGCAGAGGTGCATCGTGGTTACTTTTCAATCTTTGCCAGCCAACTCTCTTCTCCTTCACTCTGGTTGGATGTGCTGCACCTGTCTCTGTTTCTAAACTTCTTTTTGGATTTTTTTAAAAACAAATTTTATTAATTTTCTATTAATTACATTTCTTAGTGCTTAATAAATATTGGGTATTTGCTTAACAATACAGATTCCAGTCTTACTCTCCACCCCTTTTTTTTCCAACCGCTAGTAAAATAAGTTCCATGTTTGATAATATTCTATGATTTCTTTCTGTTTGATTTTCAATGTAAATCTATCCATTTCTGCACAATCTAATATCTTCTTAATTATCTCTTCACCTTGAATTTTCTCTTCCTTCATTTTTCCAATATTGTGCGAAGATAATCCTTGCTGCTGTTAAGGCATGTAATACTAAATACATTCTTTTTGTATTTTATTGTTCTGTTTACAGGTAGTTCTCAACTTGAGCCCCATATTTACATTTGCTAAGTGAGAAATCTGTTAAGTGAATTTTGCCCCATTTTATGACTTTCCCCATTTGTTAAAGCAAACCACTGCAGCTAAGTTAGAAACACGGTTCTTAAGTGAATCTGCTTTCCCCATTGACTTTGCTTGTAAGAAGGTTGCAAAAGAGGATCATATGACCCCAGAACACTGCAATCAATGGTCATAAGTATGAACCAGTTGACAAGCATCTGAATATAAATCATGCGACCAAGTGGATGCTGCAATGGTCATAAGTGTGAAAAATGGTCATGTCCCTTTTTTCAGTGCCGTTGTAGCTTTGAACGGTCACTAAACAAACTTGTAAGTTGAGAACTACCTATACACCCTTAAATATCAACATTAAAATTACCAAAAACCAGCTACAATACGAACCAGTATGCAATGGGATGTAGGTGAGGTCTTTTTAATCCACTAACTACTCCGTTGGGGCCAGAGGTGGTATTCAGCAGGTTCTGAGCTGTTCTGGAAAACCAGTAGCAGAAATTTTGAGTAGTTTGGAGAACCAGCAAATTCCACCTCTGACAGGCCACGTCCCCATCTATTCTCTGCCTCCCATTGAGTCCCAGCTGATTGGCTGGGTCTTCTTTGGTTGCCCTGCACAGGAGAATGGAGCTGGAAAGCAGGTTGGTGGGGTGGGGAGGGAAGGGGGATTTTGCAATGTCCTTCCCTTGCCACGCCTGCCAAGCCACACCCACAGAACTGGTAGTAAAAATGTTTGAATCCCACCAGTGGTTGGGGCCCTTGGTCAATAGGCAGAGAGAGGTTTTGAGATCCTCCCAGAAAGCCAAGAGATTGAGGACAAATGTTACCTTGAAGAGCCTGATGTTCCAGAAGGTGGAAGTTACAGCAGAGAAGGTTGTTCTGAATCCCACCAGGCAGAATTATTTGGCAGACAGCGTCCGCAGCTTGCCACTTTTGCTGGCGCGCGAGGGGTGGACCCATCCCTTTGGGGGGAGGCAGTTCCTCAGCTCAACCAGCCCACTTTCTGAGGCTTCTGAGTTCCTGGGATATTCTTAGAAAGTAAAAATGGCAAAACCTTGCGGTCTAAGGCCTTGTTCGGAAGGGTGCATCTCTCCCCAGGAAAATGAACACGTGAGTGGCAATGAGAGGCAGTAAACTTGGGAAGATGAAGGAGGTTGCCGAGGAGTGCCAAATATTACCAGCCTGTCTTCTGAAAAATGGGTGTTTTTTTAGTTGTAGCAATGTATTTTCAAATGGGGAGAGATGAGTAGCTTGTGGGGCTCGTGGTGTGGGCAAAAACTGGGAGAGATTTTGCGATATGCACTTCATATTCTTCACGAGGGTGGCCAAGGGTTGTTTAGTTAAGCTGTGGAGCTATTCCAGCAGCTTATCCTGATCTCTCAATATAGTGCTGTCTTGAATATTGTTTCTGCTGAAAACAAGTGCTGTTCTTTTTCTTCTTAGGATAAGCCAGAGGACCTTATCTTGTGCTGTAGTATTGAAGATATGTCAGAACCCCTCTTTCTGTCTATTTCTGGTGAATTAAAAGAGCTGTGTATCACTTACTCGATTCCCTTTGACAGGTAAAGAAAGCGGATATAGCTATAATGAAAAGCGAGTAAGGTAATTTATATGAATGATTTGGTTCCTGTCTGCTTTAATTTTCCCCTTCCCTCCTTCCTTCCTTCCTTCCTTCCTTCCTTTCCTTCCTTCCTTCCTTCCTTCCTTCCTTCCTTCCTTCCTTCCTTCAAAAATCACATGTGAAGTGTTAGTACCACTTTATAAATTGTTAGTAAGACCACACCTGGAATACTGCATCCAGTTTTGGTCACCACATTACAAAAAAGATGTTGAGACTTGGAAAAACTTAGAGAAGTGCAATTAAGACGATTAAAGGGCTGGAAACTAAAACATGAAGAATGGTTGCAGGATTTAGGTATGGTCAGTTTAGAGAACAGTTTACCAGTATTTGAAGGGCTGCCCCAAAGAAGCTATTCTCCAAAGCACCAGAAGGCCAGACAAGGAACAATGGATAGAAACTAATCCAGGAGAGAAGCAATCTGGAATTAAGAAGAAACTCCCTAAGAGGGAGGGCAATTAACCCAGTGGAACGGCTTGCCACCGCAGAAATCGCAGATACTTCATCACTGGGGGTCTTTAAGAAGAGACTGGACATTTGTCTGAAATGGTATCGAGGATCTCAAGCTTGAGCAGGGAGTTAACCTAGAAGATCACCAGGGTCCCTTCCATTCTATTCTGATTCTGATACTTGCTAGGAACCATTTTGAATTTGATTTTTGCTTCCTGTTGACATCACTAGAATGAGAGACCAAATGTGTTATATGGTCTGATCCTGCAGGCTGCTTTTTATGTTCTTACTACTGTACACTCGCATTTTGTACGAACTTGCACATTCCTTGGAGATCATATATCATCTGGAATATAAAACAATATCTTACTCCTTTTTTTGTGAAAGTAATACAGATAGTCCTTGGCTTATGATCGTAACTGAGCCCAGAATTATGATTATAGGTCATCCTGGTCATTAAGTGGGTTATTACGTTGACCACACCCAATTTTATGACCTTTTTTGTGATGATTCTTAAATGAATCACTGCGGTCAT